TGGCTTCTCCATGGACTCTGCTTGTCAGAAGGTTGCAAAAGGGGATCAAATGACCCCGGGATTCTGCAACTGTCATAAATACGAACAGTTGCCAAGCGTCCACATTGTGATCATGAGAGCAGGAGGATGCTGCAACAATCATAGCTGTGGAAAAGTCGTACCACTTTTTTCAGTGCTGTTGAGCCTTTGCACGGTCACTAAATGAATGGTCGTAAGTCGAAGACTACCTGTCTTCATTTCATTGACAGTTCATTTAGGGACTCTTCAACGTTAACAGCAGCCCTGAAAAAAAAGTAAGTTACGACCATTTTTCACACTTATGACTGTTGCAGCATTCCCACGGTCGTGTGATTGACATTCAGATGCTTGACAACTGACTCACATTTATGACGGTTGCGGTGTCCCGGAGTCATGTGATCCCTTTTTGGGGACCTTCTGGCAAGCAAAACCAATGGGGAAACCGGAGTCACTTAACAACCGTATTACTGATTTTTACAACTGCAGTGATTCGCTTAACAAAGGTGGCAAGAAAAGTTGTAAAACGGGGCAAAACTCACTTCCATATCCACTTCATACCCAATTCCAGCCTTTGTTCTTTATATGTTTAAGTCACCAGTCCCCCAATCATCTTTGTTGCTCTTCTCTGCACTCTTTCTAGAGTCTCCACATCTTTTTTTACATCGTGGCGAGCAAATGATGGCACTAAAACTATCCCTCTTAAAGCAGTGTCCCCCCACGCCGCCCCGAACCTGGCAACTTTAAGCTGTATGGACTTCAACTCCCAGAAGTCCCCGCTCAGCGTGGTCTAGAAGCACTTCCCGCTACTCGCTTTCAGTCCGAGCGCGACTCCGTGGCAATAAAAGAGTTAAAGTCACGGAGTTGACACTCCTAGAGGGGCCTCATAGATGGCCGACGAAAACTCCTTCCTGTTTGCAGCCGAGCCCGCGTCTCGCTTCCCGAAGAAGAAAGAGCAGGTAAAAGTAAGCGGGGCGGCGGATTGTGGGGAAACGGCTACACGTGTCACGGCCGTTGTAGTCGGTCTGCGAGAGATCTGGGCTAGGAAAATAAGAGTCGGAGGGTTTGGCCTCTCTTTGCCGACCGTCCAAGTGGAAGGCCGGTTCTGGGCAAGACAATAATTATTATTTTCCCACCGATTCTACCCATTAGATACAGGCAAACATTTTTAATCTCCAGTTTGGGGTTTTCCACCTGCCGGGTGTGACAAACTCCTCTTTTGGGTATGGTAAATAAATAAAGAAATCCTTAATGCATAACTTTATTACAAATTATGTTATAAATTAATTATAAATTATAATAGATAGACAGACAGACGTTTATATGTTATACGCATACTTATGCTTCTTTTGTTTAGTTGACAAACCAAAATACATGAATAAAATAATAATAATTCAGAGATCTGGAAAGAGAACGTTTCTTTTTTGTTTTTCCAAGATCTCTCTTCCATAAAAAGCCCCCTTTTTATGCAAGGACATAACGGGGTGAAAATTAGCATTTTAAAATATATATATATCAAAGAGGCCAGGAGTGCCTGGCCTCTTTGATATATATGAATAAATGAAATTCATCACCTGACGGACTTTTCCCCCTTTGCTAAACTGGGTGTGGTTCACATGTGACGCATCCAGCCTGTCACTAGTTTGACACACCTGTAATAGGCCAATGTTTCTCAGGCATGTTGGCTGTTGGATCCTGGGAATTGTAGTTCACAAGCTTTAAAGTTGAGGTTGAGAAACACTGTTATCAGATACAGCAAAGATGTGCTTTCTTATGTTCATTGCACAAAGAGATCATCTTAATTTCCTATCTGAAAGGTGTTAAGGAAACTCCCCCCCCCCCCTTTTCCCCCCAACCAATATCCATTACTTTAGAGTTTGGAGGATGTAATAAAAGAGAATGGGGCGTTGGTTTTTACCTGATACGCCCCTTCTCGAGGCAGGTGGAGACAGCGGTCATGCATGGGTTAACTCAGTCAGTAACCAATAGAACTGAGTCTACCAAAGTAATGTCATCGCCTTGGGGGGACTGTCCTCCCGTTTTTGTGACGAAGGAGATAAGTAGACTGAAGGTCTGAAGGCTTCTCCATCTATGGTTGGGCGCTGGATCCGGTCAACCATAGCTAGGGCTTACGTGGCGAGCCACCTCTCTCCTCCATCCAACATCAGGGCTCATTCCGCACACAGTGCGGCTACATCAGCAGCGTGGAAAAGGCAGGCCTCGGTGGAAAAGATCTGCAAGTTGGCCACTTGGGCGACCCCCAATTCCTTTATCCACCATTATAAGATGGACAGATACGCGTCGGTGTATGCTGCATTCGGACGGAGGGTGCTTCAACAAGTTCTTCCCTCTTCAAGCTCCTAGTCCAGTCTCATTGCCACCTGGGGACACGCTCAGCTTTGGTAGGTCCCATGCATGACCGCTGTCTCCACCAACGTTGGAGCATGGGCGTTGGTTCTTACTTGATACGCCCCTTCTCGAGGCAGGTGGAGACAGCGGTCATCCCCACCTTTGGTTCCTGGCCTAGTGGCGGAGGGAGTTCTGGAGCTAGGTTAGAGTTTCGGAGGATTGGAAGCAGTCGACTAACACACAGCAGTCTACTTATCTCCGTCACAAAAGCGGGAGGACACTCCCCCGAGGCCATGACATTACTTTGGTAGACTCAGTTCTATTGGTTACTGACTGAATTAACCCATGCATGACCGCTGTCTCCTCCTGCCTTGAGAAGGGTATCAGGTAAGAACCAACGCCCCATTCTTTTTTATTACATCCTCCAAACTCTAAAATAATGAATATTGGTTGGGAAAAGGAAAAAGAGGGGAGTTTCCTTAACACCTTTCAGATAGGAAATTAAGATGACCTCTTTGTGCAATGAACATAAGAAAGCACATCTTTGCTGTATCTGATAACAGTCTTTCTCAACCTCAACTTCAAGGCTTGTGGACTACAATTCCCAGGATTCCGCAGCCAACATGCCTGAGAAACATTGGCCTATTACAGGTGTGTCAAACTAGTGACAGGCTGGATGCGTCACATGTGAACCACACCCAGTTTAGCAAAGGGGAAAAAGTCATGATAGTCAGGTGATGACACCGTGATGATGGGAGTTTGGCACCCCTGGCCTAATAGAATGTTCCATTGCAGCTGTCAATCAAGCATCACTCCAGTTCAATGTTCCTAGTTGTTAATGTTAGGTTCCTAAAATTCTCCAGCTGCCTGCTCTAGGTTCTGAAACACTGAAGTATAGGTAGTCCTCGACTTACAACATGTTTGCTTAGTGACCGAAATTACAACAGCGCTGAAAAAAAGTGACTTACGACCATTTTTCACATTTATGACGGTTGCAGCACTCCCATGGTCACATGATTTACATTTGGATGAATCACAACTGATTCACATTTGTGACGTTTGCAGTGTCCTGGGGTCATACGATCACTTTTTGTGACCTCCTGACAAGCAAAGTCAATGAAGCCGAATCCGCTTAACAACCCCG